GGTATTAAAAGTATAATGTATGTATCCTCTCGTTAAGGAGGTGGAGTCCGTGTGAATAAGACAGGTGATCATATAAATATATACACATACATACACATATGTGTATTAATACAAAGACTAAAGTTTTTAGAATATAATACTAATTTATACTATCAAACGCGAATGATTATGTTAAATTAATTGCTCTATTTTAACGTATAGCACGAAGAAGAACATTTATGTTATTTCTCTTTTCTAATATCTTAATTGGCATGTAAAGATATTGGAACGAGAAAACTAATAATTTTAACGTATTAATTACAAAATTGTGCAAAAAATTAATCAATGAGGGAAGAGCAGGGTTTCTCTCCAACATGATGTATATGTTTCGACAGATTCGCACACGATATACATCTCTTATTCGAGTGATGTCGCATTTATTATCGTATATATAGACAATTTGCAAATCTTTACAAATCTGAAGATCATTTTAAATTTATATAAAATTACTGCTTGGTCATTATTCGTATTTTACTGTCACGCGAATATTAATTTAACGTATAATTAAAGTGCAATTGTAATGTCTTTTCCAAGATATATTTTTCAAAACCATGTTAGAAGCTATATTGGGATATGTACATCTCTAAGATAGATAAGTCAGTAATTTGTTAAAATGAAATATGAAGGTCTTATTATAGCTTTAGCATAAGAGAATTAAAAAAAGAAACACTCATGTTTATGAAGATAGTTTATTTAGTCATTCTATACACGTTCGCTCCTTTTTACTTCCTTTACTTGTAAACCTGAAGAAAGATATTTTTAATATTATATTTAGCATGTTTGAAAAACTCAAATTCTTTTGAATTAATTTTTAATTTACAAAGAAATTGTTTCAAATTACTAACATATTGAAAATGATAAAATAAAAAGCACTATATTTATAATATTACTTAAAAGCATTATTATATCATTACGCTAACTCTGAGTTGTAATCAACATCCCTATAATTTGTTGTACCTGGTGGTAAGGATTGTTTCAGCTTCTCTGCTTTTTCTTTATCCGTGATGACGAGAGTATATAGAAAACGGGAGCATCGAACTTTGAATTTGACGTTATCAGCATTCTTCTTAATTTTAACAGCTGAAAAAAAGAACGAGATCAATTATGCATATATGACACAGGAGACAGGAAAAAAAAGGAATAAATTAATAAACATGTCTTACACTTTGCATCCTTTCGTCTAGCTTTGAGCAGGAAGTCCTTAATTTCCTTAATTTCACGCGGCTGAAAATATAAAAGAAATCATTGACGTGACTGCAAAATCTTTTTAAGGTTATGTTGTCATAAATATAGATTTTGAAACCAACATAACAAAGTATTTTTACATGTTTATACATTTTCGTTCATATCTAAAAATGCACAAAATATGGGAAAATTAAACAGTAAATATTTGTTACTTACCATGTTTTCTTTTTGTAATTTATTAGGGCAAGAAGGACCTAAAACGGAATAAAAATTTGATCGATATTTGATAGAAATTCTTAGTAAAACACAAAACGATTCACGATATATAAAGCACTATGCTTTTTTCTACGAACGTTAAATTATGTTTCAGTGAAACGATAAACGATGGTTAGCAAACGAAGCGGATACGAAATGAATTCCCATAAAGCAGCAATCTTACCCTACACGCACATCGATGGGAAAGAAGAAACGACACGACATTCGTGTTCCAAGAATTCTGCGTTCCAAAATCCTACTTCAGAGTTGCATTTACTCGACCAATCGGCAAAAGAGCAAACATTTTCTCGATTCCGATTGGTCAATTAAATACTGTATCCATCATATAAGGTTCATTCGGAACGTAGCTTTGGTAATCAGTCAACTTTGGTTAGTTTTAGAAGTTAGTCAAATTAGCAACCAAATTTGAAATAAATGACGAAATCAAAATAACATAAGTTTAGAAATAATTTCGAAACTGTTTCGACAAGAATTATATATACACAAATGTGGATAAAAATACCATCACATCATTTGTATGATAAATTTCGAATTTAAAAAAGATTGTTAAATTATAATACTTTATAACAAAAGTTGTCGATTGTTCTATCGATAAGACAGAATTCGCATTGCTAAAACTGCTATAAACATAAGCTTCTTTTACGATTTGAAACATACGTCTTGGAAAGAGAGATAAATTTAGACGAGTACGACTATTTTGTGATTCCTAATCCGAACGGAAATGACATCTGAAATAACATATATATATATATATATATATATATATATATATATATATATATATATATATATATAAGT